CTTTGGTTTTCCTCAAACAAATCTTAACCCATGTGTAAGGACTAGAGAGGACATATCTTTTTTGAGTGAACACCTAAACCCTCATAGTAGATTTTGACTCCCACCTAATTTGAAGCATTAAATGATTTTGTGTTTGGTTTTCACACTGTGAACAGAGCCAATTCCCAACTACCTCATGTTAAATGTTCTTTCTTACATTTGTGACCACAATGGACATTGCTGTGGTAATCCCTGTATCTCGGTGTGTGATGCTCAAAGTGATCACAGGAAGGCTCTGTCTTCTCTGGGCCATGCTGAAAACATCTGCCCCAAAATAAGAAATTTCTCTGGGGAGAACTTAAGTCTTCTCTACATTACATTTTTTCAGGGTGCTCACTAATTTTTCTCCTTTATGCATTATATATACAAGATCCTCCTTGAAAGATGCTCAGCTGCTTTTCTGTCCATCACCAACACACACACACACACACACACACACACACACACACACACACTATGTGAACATTTATACATCAAACTTCTCCTCCTGACTTTCCAGTATTTTTCAAAAGAACGCTATTTAGTGTAGACTTTATTGTGTGTGTTTAAATCTATTCACATTTGAGCCACCAACTGAGTTTCCTTTAAATTTGAATCTTGAAGTACATCAGAGATGAAGAGCTTACCTTCTGTGAGCTGGAGAGGTGAGGGTGAAATAGTTCTGCTCATTAGACACTTGTAGTGACACAAATTGTATAGATAAAAGTCAAAACTCCTCCATCTCTTCATACCCCACACCCCGTTTACTTTGCACAGGTGGTGTCCTCTGGTGATCACATTTAAAATGGCACCTCCCTTTAGGGTCAAACATTTTTTCAGCCCTACACTGTGCCTAGGAGCCAAACCAGAAAAAATCACTGTCAAGTAAATGCGGAACTCCTCCTTGAAAAGTCAATAAACTTTTCAGGATGGTGAAGGCAGAGTATTAAACCTACCAGCAGCTCTTAGTGACTGCACAGAGTGTGAACCCATGAAGCTAAACCTTCCCAGCAGGGCAAATTAATGTATTCATCTTCCACATCAATTTCACACCAAACTCAAGTCACAAAAGCCATACACACTTACTACTACTATCATCCTTAATGGTTTGAACTAAAGGCTTTCTTGCTAGAAATGATTAAAAGAGCAACTTTTCTAAATGCCTCAGTAGACACATGGGCTTTGAAGGGTGGAAGTGAATGCCTACCAATGTTGATACTTTTCAGACAATGACATTAGTGATACCAGTGACACCAGGGAAACGTTCAGCTGAAAGGATCATGGTTTATGCAAAGCATTACATCCACTTCTGTGAACATTCAGGGATCTGTCACATAGTCTGGGCTATGCTGGATTTACTCTCCAGAGTAAAAGACATGCTGTTGTATTTCTACTTCCATTCAGTTACTTAGAAGAATGAAAGGTGCTTTATGAACCCTATGGTTTGACCATTAAGAGAATGACATTCAGAATTCTAGGCTTCAGTGCAAGGCCAAGCCTTCTACAGCAATACTGCAATAGCTCCTGACTAGCTTTTAATTCCCAAAGGAGTCATATTGTCTAAATATGGACTGTAATGTCATCAGGTAGACAGAACTCCTCAGATTGTGGTTCTATTGAATGCAGCTATGTAAAGGTCAAATAGGAAGAGCAGTGTCCATCACCAATAGAAGTGATAGATCTGGATTAGACAAGGGCAGGTGGCCCAGATTATTAACACCCATTGCTTCAGCAAGCGGCCTGTTGCATAGCTTTCATCATGGAATCACAAGAAGTTCATTATCACTTTCAACAAAAAAGTCAATATTTCCACTCCAAGTTAATTCTGACCCTCAATTCCCCCTCGCAACCGCACATACCATCAGTCACCATGTTTGCCTCTCCCCAGACAATTAGTCAACTTACTAAAACACAAATCCCCTAAAATATGGCCTACTTGTTGACTCAGCTGAGGCAAGTCTCATGTTATGGGATTTAATTTTAGTTATTCACAACTCTCCAAGGCCATGTGGAAACAAAAGCCCTCAGACCACACTTTGAGAGCCTGCTCCACATGTTTCCACTGTGTTGAAACAGAGAGTAGACACCTTTGACCTTCAATTGCATCCTCATCCTCAGGCCTGCTCTTCATTCCCTACCTTTTCTGGGCTCCATTGCAACCCCTTTGCTAGTCTGACTACCACACCCTCCAACTACCTTCCTGACTAAAATTTCTGTCCTCATGTTCCCAATCTTACAAACTTTCATCACTCCTTAGAATCCTAGTCCCCAACAGGGTGCTCATCTCATGTCTCCCTTGATCCTTATCCCATGTCTCCTGTTTCATAACATTTGTTGCCTAGTACATCTGGTTTTCCCTCTTCTGTTAATCTTAGAACACTAATATGAATCTTCAAAACCTTATTCTTTCTCCTGTCCCTGTGTCTTTCTGCACATGCCTATCCAAGTCTGGGAGAATGGCTCTCCTCTCTTAACTGCACCAGCTACAGTGGTCCCTCCCTCATCACTAAGGTCAACCCCTTACTTGTATGCCTCAGCCCCATGCTGAGCTTCCTTAATTAACAAAATCCTCTTCAATCACCTTCTTATGTCCTCTTTAATTCATGCAATGCCTAATACACAAAACCCATATACTTTTACTTTCCTATCAGGACCCTGAGCAGATCCTATTTCTTTTTGACTGCCCTGTATGCACAACTCTGCCTACCCACCATCCACCTCTGACCAGAGGATTAAGTCCAATGCCTCAGAGGACCCAAGTAGGATTTAAAAATAGACCAGAAAATAGATTTATTTCCCATTTCCAAGTCTGTTTGTAGACACTAAAAGTAGAGGTGTGGACATTGTAAACATAACAGAGAAATCGTAGAAAAAGACACTGATTTGTGCCCTGAGTTCCAAGTCAAAGGAGGTACAAAACAGGGTATCCCACTGCAGGCCTGCAGTGGCTGATGTCACAGGGACCTGCATGTATAGTAGACATGTTTGGGTTCATGTGAGAATAGTTTTCAAACCTCCATAATCTTTTTCATGAAGGTGAATGAAAATGTATGTACAATGCAAACATTGTTGATGGGTAGGCCACTGCAGAGGTGCAGAGGTTCACATGTGCCCTTTCTATAATGTTCTAAGACAAAGGCCACTTCAAGGCAAACTCATCCTGAGAGAAATCTGGGCAGTCAGGTCACCTTTGGCTATGGAAACTAATTCAGAAGGCAGGCAGGGCAACTGAAAACAGTTACTTAAAAAATTGCAGCCATTTTTTTTTAATTGGGAAATTTGAAAGTCAGTTAAGGATGGGAACTCTGAACAAGGTGAAAAGATTTGCTAATTAAAATTAGGTTATGGCAGAGTGAAAGATGCATGAAACATATTTAATAAGGGAAGACAAGACTTTACTAAAGACCATGCATTAGTACAGGGAGCCAGAAAGCAACACCCTTGAAAGAGATGGCTGAAAAGATTTTAAGAAAAAGATAAAGAATCAAAGACTCCTCTGTTTGCTATTTGACCTTACCAAAAAGTAAATATAAAGTAAAGCATTTCATGAAGTCTTCCCAGTATGACTTTTTACCTCGTGCTTTCAGAGGTCTTCACACAAGTTAATCTTCTACCCTCCCAGAGAGATGAGACACAAGACACCAGGAGGATTAAATTTAAAGTCACTGGCATATGCCCTTGAGATAGATACACTTTGAATCATTACACTGGCAAGAACATTTAAAGGAGAGCCATGTGCATTCCAAATGGGCACTAAAATAATCAGCAATCACAAATTGCAATTCTATTTCTGAAGGAAATGCTCTAGAAGTGTGGAAGTCAGAGGCCTGTAATCAGGGAGAACCTGTGTAAAGGTCATTGACTCTGAGGAACATGAAGGCCTCTGATTCATTAAAAAAACTGCTTTCTGAACAGTGGAGGGAAACACGACTACATCTCTTTCAGCCAAAACCCAGTTTTCATCTCCATCAGTTATTGTAATTTATAAATAAGTGCAAAATAACTGAGAGTCCCTGAACAGAGCCAGAATCTGATCTCCCAGAATACTGTGCTTTTGGAGATTTCCATTTAGAAATTATATTTTAATCTACAGTAACACTTCCTCTCTTCAAACATAATTCCTAAGGAAGAAATGTGTACTTGATCCTACAACATGGCTGGACTTGCAAGATTTGACCTCATTAGTTACCTAAGAGCAGAGGAACTGATTTCACCCCTTGGTTTGCCCTGAGGAAGATTTTTCTACAGAACACATGGTAGGAGATTTGTCACTTGAGGTTAAGGAGCTTTACCTTCACTTCACCTATAGTCTCTCTAGCTTTGAGTGATATACTGTTCTCCAGGAGGTAACAAAATTCCAAGAGATCAAACTTAGCTTCATAAACTATGCGTTCATTTGTAATTTCATGGGCATTGTTCTGAACTAAGACTTTTGGGCTAAAGTCCTGGCTTTATTACCAAAGTTTCCAATTACATCTTATTAATAGAAAGAACAGAAATGTACTAAACTAGTTTTATTGACATATAAATAACAATACTGGAGACTTTAAAAATCTTTTGAAAGGTATCTAAGAGAAACTTAAGATCAGTGTTGCTACCCACACAGGCATCCTCTTGTCCATTCCCATTGTCTAGAGCAGTGACCAGGTGCACCCCATGTTTGCATGGAGAACTGACAGAGCTCAGATTCTGTGAGCTCATCACCTGCTCCCTTTGGCTGTCATACAACCACTGCTCATTCTCTGAGGGACACAGTGTTAACTTCACTGTGGACATGCTACAAATGAGACCAAATCAAAGCAGGTGTTGGTTTGAAATGTGACCTTAAGTCAACAATAATGACAATGTCAGCTCACATTTTTGAGTGTTTATTGACTTAATGTATATCTTTTAAGAACTATTCATCTGCAAACAAATATATTATAATAATGCAAAGAAACTTGATTTAGAGTTCAATAACACAGAGGAAGGAAGGAGGGTCGCTAATATAACACATGCAGTTCAAGGGGCCGACTTTCAACCCACATGATGGGGTTTGATGTTTTACACTTGTAAATCCCAGCATCTTCCCTCTTGACTGGGTCTATGGTGAGTCTTCTGCTGTTCCAAGATAGCTTCATTCTGTTTGTGAACTGCAGATTCGTGCCATTGAACAGCCACTGGACAGAGAGTCCATTTGTGTAGCAGGTCAAGACCACATACTCTTCATTCTCTATGACTCCATAGCTGCTGGCTATGAGCACGGGCACTCTCAGATGCTCTGTAGAGAAATAGAGAATGTGAATCTTTGAGAATGTGTTTGAGACATGGAGCCATGCTCCTTCCTCAGAGATCTCCACCACTCAGAGTCCACAGTGAGCTATATAAAGGTCACCAGTGTGTGGTCCTGACATTTGCAGAAAGAACATTGTCTAAGTTCAGGTGACAGTATGTAAAGTGAAAGTTGCACCTCCTCTCTGAGCCCATATAACCTCAGGGGAATTCTATACCTGTTCCCCCACTCTTCTCTGTAGTAGCAGCACACAAAACCCCTTCCCAGTGCATATGGTTCATAACCTCATCATCAGGTACAATTTTTCTCTCATGAGTTTTATTGATCTTTTCCTAGAACCTTTTTTGACTTCACCAAACTTCAGGGTTCATTCCTTATGTGAAGATTTATATACTTTGGGGAGGGCAAGTTTACCACCTTTGTCCATCTGTGGGGCCAAGGGAAGTTTATAGCAAGTAGAAAAGCATTCAGCTTTTGTTAAAAAATTATTAGGCAGAAAGGATGGCCCAATGCACTTTTCATGGTTTACACCATGAGGATTTCTATCTAAAAGGCTTCTTACACTGAACAAGACTTTATTTCCTTGCCTACTGAGCCAATATAATGGTACAATTAATCTCTAGAGGGAAGTAGTTAAGGTTTCACCAAGGGATATTGGCTGTAGGAATAGAAGGAAACTATTCATATAATAAAGGCCATACTTAACAGCCCAGAGCTAACACAATACTTCTCAGTCCACCTTACTTCCTGGTAGACCAGAAGCCTTTCCTTGCAGCTGCACAGACTTCTGCCACCCAGCCGAAGTTTATTTCTGTGGGTCACCATTTCCCAGGACATCCTAGAGACTGGGGTGTGTGTGAAACAACAGATACATCCCAGAAGCAAGCAGGTGGTAAGTTGACAACTCAGGCCTCTGGACCGAAATGTGGGTCAGGTCTTTCCAGGTAGTGTGACTGAAATGATCCAGTGAGGCAATGAATGATGATCAGGGTCCAAGAAATGATTTAGCAAACAAAAAAAAAATGACAGGCAGAATCTGGTAATGTCAGCAGACACAAGTGCTCTGCCCATGACTATGAAAGTTTTTCTCTCTCACCTAACAGCCAGTGAGGACTTGTGCAAAAGGAAAATGAGTGACTTACAACAAATGGGAGCACTGACTTCCTGAAATTCTGGTGATTATTGCAGTTGGTGTAAGGCGGCCATGATATAAAAATGTGGAAAAATTAAAAATTATTTTGTGTGTGAAATGATGATTAATAGCCTAGGGCCTAAGACTAATTGAAAGAAAAACTATTTTCTTAGGGAATAAAAAAGGAAAGTATCTGAGATGATGATCTTTGTTTCTCAGGGCACAGAAAGGCTGTCCTCAGGGCCGGATTTTAAAGGACTCTGTATTTAGGTTCCAGGCTCCGAAGTGATGTTGGATCATTTATTTATTTCACTCACTCCTTCCCCATTTATTTCTTCCTAATTCAGCAACAAAAACTGAGTGTTTGTTACTTATTCGTCCCTGAGCTAGTTTCAGGGGTAGAGTCGGGAGTGAGAAGACAAAGTCATTCGCTTTACATCTGCCGTGAGAGTTTGCACCAAAACACGAAACAAATAATTCATGCCAAATCCAGTGCAGGAAGGTGTGACTAGGCCACCTGAGGAGGATGTCTGGGTGATCTATACAGTGATTCTGATTGTTACTCCAAGTAGTTTTCCTCTAGAGTAAAAATAGATTGTTTCTCCATTTTTTCACTCCGCAGACCAAATTGCATTCTTATGAGCTGAAGACACTTAATACAAAGCCTCTGAAGGAGTTTTTTTTTTTCCGTTTAGAATCCAAAGACCCTCTTTTATGGTCCCCAAGGTAGAAAAATTAAGTCTATGGCTACAGACAGCCCAAGAGTGACTCTGATGAGCTTCTCATATTCTGTGCAACCCTGCTGTAGTGACTGCATCTTCCTGTACCTCAGTTTGTTCTCAATGAAGAAGGCTGCCAGTATATTAACTGTAAAATATTGTCAGTAGCTGACTTAAATCCTGAAATAGAAGACCTGCTAAAACAAAGCATCTCTTATTGATCGACTTCCACATCTATTACTGGTCTGGGCTGATTCTTTGTGAATGAGGACCTTCCAGGAGCTTCTTCTTTTCCTCAGTTTCTTTCTGGACATGTTGAACTTTTTTGGAACCTTCCTAAGTCCCCCAGGACAGTCAGCTATATCCACAAACATTGTCTAACTGTGTTTTCCACACACAGACTCAGGTGATGCCAAATTCCATTTCTGCCAAGATGTGAATCTTGGGCCTGAGCCAACACTGGTGACAGGCTCAGAAGCCTTATGACTCAGTCCCATTAAACCATTATTACACACTCAGCACTTTTGAGGATGCCAAACCCAACCTGGCAGAGGCTGCCTTGCATCCCTGGCATCAAGAGCCCTGGCACAAGGTTCTGGGGAAGGAATTCTGAACTGAGCTCTGTATGAATATCAGGAAGCCTCTCAGACCATGCTCTGACCTAGTATAGGGGGGTCAGCTTCAGGTCAAGTTCACAGGAACATGCTTAAGGGGGCTGAACTGAGAGTGGTCTCCCTCTGCTGAGTTACTCTCATCAGACTGACCCTTCTATCTGCAGTGACTATCTGCAGGGCTGCAATTTGGAAAGAGAACTGAGATATTCAGAAGTTTGTCTATAATCTGTGTATCCTGCATTAAATGTCAAAACCGAACCTAAAACAAAATGCAGAGTGGAATGGAGGTAGTGTCCAGGGCTGTCAGTCCTGTGTGTGAAGTAGGCATCACCTGACCCAATCCCCAGTCATCAGAAAGAAATCACTCACCATATACATCAAGTTGCCCAAACCCTATTTCTGCTTCTGAATTTGGAAAGTGGGCCACTACGGTGTATGTTCCTGCATCCTCCATGGTGACCTTCTTCAACAGCAAAGATCCATCATCCTTTAATATTTGCCGTCCGTTGTTTTCAGGACCACTTAAATGAAAACTTGATGTCTTAATAAAAAATGAGATTACATTATTTTGGTCCTCTCCTTCCCCCTTGTACCACACGATGCCTACAACCTCAGGAGTCTTATTGTGGATATGCAGAACTGCATCTATCCCTTCGGTAGCACAGGTTGACTCAATGCTGATTTCAGCTGTGGTGGGCAGGCTCCAGGAGGTTATGAGTGAAACTAGGAAATAAGAAAAAAAATGGATTAATATTTGCATCTATGTATTGGGACAGAGAGATGAGGCCCTGAATCCTGAGTGAGTCTCTTTATCTCTCAGCCTTGGTCTGTAGGTGAATGTGTGTCTCCCATGGTCAAGGTCAACAGCATGAACCCCATTACTTCAGCACCTCTGAAGCTGTTATTTTTTCTGTTTCAAATTCTTTTCTCCACGTGTTTGTTTTGGTCACCGTCTCACTATGATTAGACCCCTTCTGAAACTCAGGGGCAGTTTTTGAAAGACATTTTTGCTGACTACTTTCTCTAAAGATTCTCTGCCCTCACTTTCTAACCTGTCCTCTGTTTTTTTTTTCATGGCAGTTGTGGACACCAGACCTCACATCTAGATATTTCCTTATCCCTCTCTCCTCCATAGAACATGGACTTTCTGAGGGCAGGGCTTCTCTGTTCTAGTACCTTCAGTATCTGCAACAGCTTGAAAATTGATGGGGATGAATGAATGAGTGCTGTAACTCCTGGAGTTTATTTGCCTATTTCTGTGGTTTGTGGTAAAGAAAACGCCTAGTGCCCCTGGTTTAATTTTTCTTGTGATTCCTGACATAAATAATTATTATTGTTACTAGTTTTCATAACTCTATATTCAGTGATGAATAACTGGAAATAAAAAGCAGTCCATGTTTTCCTGCTTCCCTCTACTTTTAGATTATGAGTTTTTCCTCTTGCTGAGCCCCCTTCCCCAATCTATTCTTCCCTTTTGTCCTTTACCCTCAGGTCCAATCAGAAGCCTTCACTCATTTCTCAGAGCATTGGCCTTTCAAGCAGATCCCAGTCAGTCTCTCTGTTAGTTTCTTAGTCTACCCCAAGGAATTGTCTCCTACTCACCAACCAGCAGGAGGCCTTGCCAGTGGACAAGTCCTTTGTGGGTAGGGACTGAAGGGGACCCCATGGTGTATGTTGTCTGCTCAGTGGCTGCCTTTTTGAGAGAAGCTTGAGGTACTGTAAGGTTCACAGGCACTTCTGTCCAGAATGGTGCAGTCTGCTGTGTGTCCTACCTGTGGGCTGACCTTTATTCTGGGGCAAGATTACGATTCTTGTCATGTGAGCTGGGGGCAGGGACTATGCACATGACAATCCTGCTCCCTGCTCTAGTTTGTGCCACCCTTTCTCCCTCTAACCAGTATTGCCCTGTTATAATTTGGTTCCCTTGGGAACTCCTGAGGTCTTTCAACACCACATAAACACACATGCAAACACATACACACATGCTTAAACACACACACACACATTCACCCACTCTTATGCTATATTTGGAAAAGCACAAGCCTGGGCTTTCTGGGGTCAGGGGTTTCTCCACAGCTTCCTGCCAGGTGTCCAGTAGTCTCTCACACAGCCCTCTCTCTCTCACACACACACATTTTATTCTTCCCTTCAGAGGAGTAGTTCTTGAACTAAGTCACAGAAACATGTCATAAGGAAGTCACTCCTGCTCTGCATCAAATCACCTGTGAAACATTGTAACATTGCAATGCCCAGGTGACACCTTAAATATACAGCTTTAGCAGCTGTTTAGCTAATGTGGGTGCCCATTCAGAATGAGATTCCTAGATGTGAAAGAAGAACCAGCTCTCCTGGTCTCCTGTGCACAGGGGAAGTCTCCAGATCCTCATAAAGTACAGATTCTAACTGGGTGCAGTGGGCCAGAGACTCTGACAAGGTCTGGAAGGAGGTTGATCTTAATATTGGCTTGTGGAGCTCACTTGCAATAGCAAGGCTAATGAGAACACAGGTGCCTTGAGAGGATGACACAATAATTCCAGCATTGGCCTCTGCTGTGTCTTTAGCTTGGGTCTGTCAGCACTACACAGAAAGCCCTAGATACCATCAATAAGAGGATTATTTGCTTGTGACACAGAAACCCCGCTGCACACCAAGTCTTTCCCATGTTCTCAAAAGCTCTCTAGTTTTACTTCTCCCCCATGAAGGTAACAGAAATAACTCTGGGAATGAGAAGTGGTCAAGCTGGGTGATAATTGCAGAGGTGACCATTCTTCTGTCTCAGGTTGTCAGCAGACTGACCTTTGCTTCCAGGGATAAAATCTTAAAACCAGAATTTTCAGTAGGAAAAGCAGTTTTTTGGTGTGAAGTGGGAGGTGTCCTGTGTGTCCCAGGAAGAATGGACTGTGGTGAAAGGTCAGGTGCCTGTGTTCTGCCTGGTTCTCAAGAGAAGTTTCAGGTAGACCACCCCTCTCCAAGTCTGTTTGTAGGACCTGTCCTTGTGCTGCTTGCTGTTGGGAAAACCTCTGAGTTATCCCTGGGAAGATTCCTTGTCATCACCAGACTTGCCCATGGGTGATGCCAGGCAGGGAGTAGACAGCAGGACAGAACCCCCTGAGACAGGAGGTGCTCCCAGGCTCTCTCAAGGTAGAGAGAGAGAGAGAGAAAGAGAGGGGAAGATGGCAGCATTGTAGGAGGGAGCAGATTTCACTTCCTCCTATGCATGGGAGAGAAACTAACTGATCTATGGAGGAAAAGATCAAGGGGCCAGCAATATCACAACATTTATGAAAATAGGACATCAAAAATTATAGCGGACATTGAAAAACCAGATGGTAAGGAGACTGCTTCATGATAATAAGGGGCCAGGGATCAGCATGGGGACCAGGGAGGTTGCAGCCCCCAGGCCTGGTGCTCCTGGGTCTGCATCAGGGCACTCAGGAGAGAGCCGAGTCAACTACTCCCTCCCTGGCCAAACAAGGATTGAGCAGCACCGGGGTAGGCCTCGTTGCTTGAAGGCACACAGTGAGGAGTAAGGACCGAGAGAGCATCACACAGGGGCTGCAAGGACCCATGCATAGCCCTGGGAAAAATGTTTGCCCCAGCTTGTGCAACCAAGGGCTGCCTAGCCGTGTGCCCACACCCCCAACATGGAGAGAGTGTGGTTTTGTGGAAGACCCAGACCCCACAGCACTGAACACAGAAAAGGCATGGGTGCTAGCAGGATCCTGGAGCCCATGGTGGTGAACTCAGGGGAAGTGTGTGCCCTCTTGGGATCCTCGGAGCGCACACTGTGAACCCAGAACAGACGCGGGCACTACACTGGATCCCAGAGCCAGGGAGCCCATGGCGGTGAGCTTCAAAGAGCATGCTTGGGAGTGCCCAGACCCACACTCAGAGCCCTGCAGAGAGGCACCAGACTGGCTCTTGGGAGAGCTCAGGGCTAGCCCTGGGGACAGTACATGAGAGGTTGACTAAGTTCTGACCGGGAAGGGAAGAACGCATTCCAATCACCCCTCAGCCTGTTGAAGCTAGCAAGACCAGAAAAACTGGTTTGGCCAGTTAGAAACCAACAAGAGGTTTTGTTCTTGTTGTTGTCATTGTTTGATTGTTTGATTTTATCTTTTTTTTAAGTAACTTTTATTTTTTTAATTCTTATTATTTTTATACCTCTCAATTCCTTTTCTTTCTCTTCCTTTCATCCTAGTGTCATTCCTTCCTTTCCAAATTTATCTCTTCTTCATTCCATCTCCTCCTTTTTCCTTTTTTTTTGAACCTGCAAGTTACTGCAAATTTGTAATTATCTTTTTTCATTATTCTTACATTTTTTATTTTAATAGTATTTTTGTATTCCTCTTCTTTCTGTAGTCTTTTTTGTTTGGCTGATTATACTGTGTTGTTTCATAGGTTTCCCCTGTTATCTCATTCATAGTGTATTGCTAATTTACTATCCTTCATTTGTGTTCCATTAGTACACTACTCAAGGTTCTATACTCCCTATTCTTGTTATCTAGATTGCATAGATTCTGCCATATGATTGTTGCTCTAATATTACTGTAAATAAGACCTATCCCATACAATTGTAAATACTACACAACACCCCTCCTAGAACTCAGCCCACTTTGCGGTTCACTGAACTCTATTACTGTAATGGTTAACTCTATTCTCTCATACACTACACATATTTACTCTTCTTTACTCTCACCCTACCTAAGAATCTGACTTCCAACAGCCTCACTGCTTTCTAGATCCAACTCACAATCCTTTCCTCCCCAATAAGAGTCTTATCTTCTTTTGATCCTTTCTAAAATGTGGCTAGTGGGGTGGAAGATCACAGTTAACACTATACATAGCCAAAGGACCTCCAATCTTCTCTATTGGTTGCTACTGTAAATATCATAGAATACTCTCTTGCGGTCTTAAACCATTTTGCCTTACTCCTCCAACTGATCACAAAAAAAGAGTATGGGGAAGCTCTGAACACCAGGATACCCAAAGAAGACTGCACCACTGAATCTCACAGGTATTCTATGACAGAAGTTCACATCATAAACCCAGGGAACCAGAACAGATCAATTTAAGAAATAGAGGCTAACAAGAAGAGTCTCACAAACAATGAGAAGACAAAGAAACAATCCCCAAATAAAGGGAAAGGAGGAAGCCTCAGAAAGAATGCTAAATGAAATAGAAGCAACTCAACTATCAGATACTAAGTTCAAAGAAATGATTATCAGGAAGCTCAATGAGCTCACAATGAGCTACCAGAAACTACAGGGAAGCTACAATGAACTCACTGAAAACTACATCAACATGAAAAAGGAAATATAAATGATCAAAACAAGGGCCAAGAAGAAATAAAGAATACAATTTCTGAAGTGAAGAACACAGTAGAAGAAATGAAAAGCAGGATTGATAAAGCAGAAGATTGGATCAGCAAATTGGAGAACAAAGTAGAAGAAA